AGTTGGCTGCTTGTGGTCCGCGGAAGGACTAGCCAGTTGACGACGAGCAGAGGTACGGGACGCGATCGGCCCTGCCTACGCTGAGGCATATACGCTATGTACGCTGCGAAACGCGCATACAACTCGCGCTCTAAGGGAAGCCTGCCTCCCTCTCTACTGAAATGAATTTCCTTTCTTCGAGCTCCGACCCTACCGTGAAATTCCTCCTTTAAGCGCATTGATATAGTCACCGCTACATTCATATTATTTGCACTTGATCGATACCAGATGTATGCACTATATGTGGTGAGCAACAAAACACCGACACATGCGCAACAAGCCCATCTTCGAAGGTTCCGAGACGATCGCGGGCCGCTGTCAGAATTTCTATAAAAAATTATCAATAGAATCGTTCAAGTTGAATCCTCTCTTTCTACTTCACATAAAGGCTTTATTTGCAATCATTGAAAGCTCAGCACAAAGTTTCATTCATGAAAAACGGGATTTCATGAAGAAGGAAACCTTGAAGCGAGCATCTACAAGTGTATAGACCTTCACTGAGCCAGCTGGAGCCAAGGGAGCGAAACGCGTGGTGGGGCGGCCATGTACCGAGAGATGCATTGAAAGGTATGAGCTCAAGCTTTCAAATTCGGAGATAGGATACAAAATGATCGATGGGTAAGAATGCGGTTAATGTCGCCGACGGCTGGGAGGATTTAGGTTGCCAACTATAGTTGATCACTTGGTTTACGATTATCTCATAGTCTGCATCGCTATAGCGAAAGCGAATCAGAGAGACAACAGTATTGGAGAAAAACCTATCTTGCAAACCTTTTTGAAGCGGTTCCATTTTCACTAATGCACTGCCTAATTCCACGTAAATGTGGAGAATAGGTAGGCCTGAACGATCACATCCACTGCATTGACCTGACCACTGTGGATACTACATTTTAATCCTCTTTGTAGCCATCTTATTGATCAATTATTTAGGAAATCTCCCACCACACAAACGTATTGCCTTGCCGGCACTTTCACCAACAATGGAAAACGGAAACATAGTCAGCTGGCAGAAGGTAATGCAACTATACTTTCATCACGAATTGGTTGAATATTCAGAACAGAACGACAAACGGCGAATGAGGGGTCTTGGTCTGTGGTTGTTGCTGCTTGCATTGCTGCCAAAGCCCTATGCTTTCTTTTCCAGCCAAACTCGTAATGGACAATGTTCGTCTCAATACATTTTTGTTTAGAAAGAGGGAGATCAACTAGGCGAAGGAGACCTACTATGTGAAATCGAAACCGACAAAGCTACCATGGGATTTGAGACACCGGAAGAGGGCTATCTTGCTAAAATTTGCATTCCTGAAGGCACGAAGGGCGTTCCAATTGGAAAAGTGCGTTTGCTTTTTGGTAAACTGCCATCACGGGTGATATCAATTTGCTTTTTAGTTGCTTTGCATTATTGTTGAAAGCGAAGGTGATGTGGCAGCGTTCAAAGACTTCAAAGACGATGGAGCAGGAGCTCCTGCTGCTGCAGCTGCAGCA